AAACACATACTTATACTTATATATTATACACATACTATATAAAAATGAATCACTAATACATACCCAACGTATATACAACATATATACAAAAGCAAGAACAGCTGGAGCCTCGCGCTCGCCGCGCGGAGAGAAACCGGTTTTCATACGTGCGTAGCTGACGTTAATAAAATAACTATTACTTATATTCTAGTGGGAATTTCTTTTTAAAATTTTAGGAGGGAGTTTCTGAATGTAAATGGAAGCGATTTATGTAAAAAAATTTATTTGATTTTTTGAAAGTTTCGCATGAGACTGTCCCCTTAAATTGCCTACCACATTAGGGTCACTTGTAACAATATAAACTGAAACATTCACGGAGAGCTAGGTTCGTAAGTAAGGAAGGGGCTGAAAGGAGTAACTACAAAAAAAGAAATAAAAAAAAACACAGATATTTCCTGAGCAACAGACACAAGAAAGTCCCTAAACTATTTAAATTGGACGCTGTTTAAAAGAATCCTCTCGCTGGGTAGAAAGAAAGGCTTTTCTTTCCTTGTATCGCTAGCTGGTGTATTTCCTTTAAGAAAGTTTTTGGAATTGGATACGAATCAAAAACACTGTCTTACATTAACTGCAAATGGTCTGGGGTGACCCATGAAACACAAAATGGACAAATATTGGGGAGATCAATGAATCGTGCTTCAGATTATCCTGGATGACAAAAGATGCACTCTTCAAAACACGGCCGCTCAATTCCTGCTTAAAACCATGTGGACCTCTTAAAATGTTAGAAACGCTTGTTTACATAGCAAATTCATAGCATTGCAAATTCCTCACATAGGACACAGCACAACAAATTTGTGATTAACTAACTTAACAAAGACTTCCAAATAGCATCTTGAGCTCAAATTCACCTCTTAACTCAAAAAACTGCCTATTTTGAAGAACTACATGCCGAAAGCTATTTCTTCTGAATCCAAATTCCCCAACTGCTTCTACACTTCACTATTTTTGATGACAAAAAAACGAATAAAGAGGTCCATCGTAGAGTGATGTTATTCTTTCAAATTATTCTTTTCCCGGCATTACTCTTCCCTCCAACCTAAGTGGAAGATTTATATTTATTTTTTGCGTAATATTTAATGGGTGGAATAAAAATAAAAAAATACCAATCTGTGTTATATAAACAAACTTAAAATGTTTATATTATCAATCTCAGCGACGCAAAAAGATTGAGAATATCGGAATGCGACCACTTCAAATCGGATTAAAGACAAACTGCATAAGATTCTAACGGATTGAAAGAGGTTAGATTAAGTTTCCAGTGGGAAAGTTATTGGAAATTGGCTCTTTACCATAGTAATTCAAAATTGGTTATATGACTTCCAAATAAACTTCCGTTATTACAATTAAACTCTTTTCAGATATCTCGAAATACCATATTTTATTGGTAGCATTTAAAATTTCGATTTTTCTGCACCCAACTATATACATTCTCTTATCAGGAAAAGAAGCTGAAAGCAGCATTACAAATTTTTCTAATAGATACAATAACAAGACATGTTTGTGCACTAGAGGTCGAGTATAAGGAGGAATTGAGCGGCCAAGTTTTGAAGAGTGCATTTTTTTGTCATCCAATATAATCCGAAGCCCGATTCAGTGTTTGATCTTCCCAATATTTGTCCATTTTGTGTTTCATGTGTCACCCCAGACCATTTGCAGTTTATGTGAGACAGTGGTTTTGATTCGTATCTAATTCCAAAAACTTTCCTAAAGGAAATACACCAGCTAGTGATACAAGGAAAGAAAAGCCTTTCTTTCTACCCAGCAAGAGGATTCTTTTAAACAGCGTCCAATTTAAATAGTTGAGGAACTTTCTTGTGTCTGTTGCTCAAGAAATCTCTTTCAAGAGAAAAGTTTATTTTTATTTCTTTCTTTGTAGTTACCCCTTTCAGCCCCTCCCTTACTTAGGACCCTAGCTCTCCGTGAATGTTTCAGTTTATATTGTTACAAGTGACCCCAATGTGTTAGGCAATTTAAATCGTTACAAAGTTACTACTAAAATCACCTGAATCACAGGACCATGTGTTTAAAATAGATTTAACAATCCATAAATTTTTACGATAGATATCATTAAAATTCTTTTTCTAAACATAGTTAAGTTATTTTTCTAGTACTTTCGATATTTTTATATTTATTTAGATTTATAAAATTGTATACTCAGTTAAATCACCAATGGAGAGTGATTCCAGGGATTCTACAAATCCCTGAAATCACTCTCCCTGTTTCTTAAAAACTCTTAATTTGCCCAAGCAGCATTGGTATGCAATCATTACCCATATAGTTATAGCAGAATTGAATAAAGTTAATTCGCGTGAATGGGAGTTAATTAAGCTTCTAATTTAATGGCTTTTTGATTTTCTGGAAACACGTACTAATTTTTTGGAGACGTTAGATTTAAATCACCAATTCAGTTTAATTAAGATGGATAACAGAAACACAAAGTTATCAAATTCGTTGGTTCTTAAAAAAGCGAGGTTTGTTAAACATAACTGTAACAATTTTGTAAATTCTCGACAACAGATAGTTAGGATCCAACTAAAACACTAAAATTATGTTATATAACTCTCTACGTGTAGGGTATTTTGGTTTAAAAGCTTAAAGATTCATTGTAAAATTTATAAACAAAGACATAGTTCTGTGATATATGAAAATAAGGGTTTCAAAAATGTTTTATATTCAATTGAAAATACGGACATGGTAACAATGCAAAGCATACCGAATGGGGTCAAGATTACCCACCATTAAAGTAAGAATTCTGGAATAAACAATTTTAATTTTGCCATAAACTATTAAGTAAAACTTAATTCTTCTTTTGCATATTTTGTGTATTACATATTGCTTTCACCAAATGTTTCAAAATCATTTGTTAATTACCTACACCAAAGAGTGTCTTGAGAAATTCGTTGCTTCCTTGGTCTGTAATTTAATTCTGTACATCATAGGTTGAGAACTAAACTGATAAAAAAACTATTAAATTGGGCACACTTTCTTTTATGACTAAAACGATTCAAAATATTATATTTGAAACTGTCATTTTTTAATTATGTCATTATATCATTAAAATAAGAGAATTTTTTAAGGTGTTGATATTTACTTGTGAAAATAAATATATCACATAAATAGTTAACTGCTGCCCAATAAAATGCGATTTCGATTTATAAGTTTACAATTGCTGTATTGTACGAACCAACGTATATGTAAACTTAAATATTTTAATATATTTGTTGGAATATGTATTTGCATTGTTTTTTTATATTTATTATAGATATTATAAAATGTAACCAGAATAATAGAAAACTACGTTTGCATTCGTTCGCAACAACGAACAGAGATGAAATATTAAGAATGGTCAAAGAGTTCTACACAGAGTTATATAGATCAAGAAAAAAAGATTAATTCTTCTTCTTCTTCAGTGCCTTATCCGGTCCGGATGTTGGCGATCATCAAGGCTATCATGGTTTTGAACTTTAAAAATAAGGCTATTATCGAGCACAAGTTAATTAAAGCTACGGATAGCTGTGACGATAGCTAACCTCTGACAGGAGAAGGAACTACAAGAAAAAGAAGAATAAGAAGGCCCTCTACATACCGCTGGGCCTGAGATAAATGCCTCGAAAGGGTCAAAAAAGACCTTTTTACCCTATATTTGAAGAGCTATATCTCTGAGCTCAGAGATATAGCTGAGATATTACGATTTTAACTCATAATATCTCAATTTGTTTTGTTATAATATCAACTTTTCGGTGAAATAATTTACAAAGTTTACATAAATTAAATAATTTTTAAACGCATTTTAATCGAGCACTAGTAAATTAGTATCCATGTAGTAGATTTGAAGATACAGCTGTTTAAAAATGGCCAGTTTTTCGATGTATTTTCAAATCTACCAAATTTGTTTTTAATTTACCATGCTCGTTTGAAAGGTACATCAACATCCTTTAATTTACCGGCTTCTACAATTTTTTTCCTCGTTTGGTAAAATTTTAACAATTATTTAAAATCATAAAACTTTTTGTTTTCTTTTTGCTCTTGACCTATAAAATAAAACTTTTTGCGGTTTTGTGAATTATTACATCAAAAAATTGACAATACATCAAAAGAAATGAGACCTTGTCAGTTAAAATCGGGCTGAGAGATATAGCTCTTCAAATATATGGTAAGAGGACTAAAGCTCAATTTGTAGGCGATAAAAAAAATAGTTTACGGACCGTAAAATTCGATAAGTACACATTGTTAAATATATACAGATCTACCTTCACCTAATTTTTTTATGCAATTTTAGATTGTCAGGAAAAAGTACTAAGGTAAACCGACCTAATAATAGCCCAGTTAAGTTTTTTTTGTTTTAAACTGTACACATATTTTTTGTAAATATGTATTTTAATGTTTTCGAAGTAGATACAAAAAATACAGAAGCATAAAAACATAATTTTTGTATAGAAGAGGCATGGAAAAAACTAAATAAAATAAAACGATGTACATACGTAATACATTTTAAATATAAAAAACTACAAAAAGTACTTTTATAAGTTACTTAGCTTTAGCACCAATCTTTTTTTTACCGGCTTTTTACCGAGAAAAGAGCTATGAACAGCTACAAATTATTTATTTCAGGTACAGAAAAAAGACCCCTTTTCTTAATGTCTTGAAGCCGTGCAATTAAACAAAAAAATTTTTGATAATGATATTCTGTTCTATCCATAGCTTTGATTTTGAATTTATCTTGTGTTATTTCTTCTACTACTCCTGGAAAATGTCCAACTACATTTTATTATTAACTCGCAATAACCTTTTCTATATTTTCAATAACCCACAATGACCGCCAACATCTAATAAGTTACCACAACGTGAAGAAATTGATCAGATTTGACGTTTTATCACCAATGTTGACAAATCTCATATTTCCTAAGTTATCTCATATGATTGTTCGTTATATTATATCGATTATAAATGTTATTATAATGGTAAATATATTTTTTCGTTTTACATTTATAAGAAATTCTTTCATGAATCCTACGTGTATTCATTTTTATGGAAACGTTTATGTTGCCGGTGAAAAAGCTCCATTTACTCCGACATAGCTTTGTGTCAATGGCATTTCAGCTGGAATGAAAATTTTTGGGAACGTGGAAACACTTTTTATATACTCTGGCTTTTACCTTTATTGTTCACTCCTTGGGGTTTATCTTATATATCCGTTTTGGAAAGAGTAAATAACTTTTATCGTGAGAATACTGATTCAAGTTTATTTTATGAGAAATATAGATTTACTTGATTTAGTTTTTTCTTTGTTCAGGGATTTAGCGTGTATATGATATAAAACTATAATATAGTCCGAGCTGTAGAGACAAAAAATGAATGATTTTGAGCATTAATTATGTTTTCATTAAAATTCTCTAATTCCCCCTCCTCCTCAGTCCTAACCCCATTTGGGATATGGTGACACCATCTGAGGCTGGGCCTCTTTCCTTCAACTCTACCCTCGACTATCAGTTTTTCCATCGTAATTGTTCTTCTAGTATTGTGTGAAAAATACTGCAAATATCTCTATTGTATTTGTTTTAAGCAATCTATCATTTACTGATTACTAACCAAGTTGTTTTAATATCGATATGTTAGTGCGATGATCAATCCAGAATATTCTTAACATGCGGCTGTATACCCACATTTTAAATGCGTCTAGTTTATTTTTATCCGCTTTCTTTAAAGTCCACTTTTCGGATGCATATGTGGCTATGGAGAAATGAGTGCCCTTACCAGCCTTAGTTTTGTGAGTATTGTTACTCGAATACTAGAATTTTTCCAAATGGTTACCAGTTTCATCATAGCTGTACCTTCTACGTATCTTTCTGTCACACCCTCTGTCATATGTTATTAGGGACCCCAGGTATATGAAACTATTTACTACTTCAAAGCCCCCAATTTCTTTAATGTGTTAAAGATTATTCCAAGCTCTGTCTACTATTATGATCTTTGTCTTACTATTTAGCTTTAGTCCATGTTTGACTTTTCTCCAGACATTTCATTATGTCTTCCATTTCTTCTTGATTTGCCGCGATTAATAAAGTGTCATCGGCATATCTCACGTTACTGATTTTTGACCTCCTACTGACATTCTACCCTTCCATCAATCTATAACTTTTCGCATAATGTGTTTGCATAATATGGTCGCTGTAGATATTAAACAGAGTTAGCGAGATTATGCATCCCTGTCTGACACCTGCCTCTGTTCTGAAATGATCGGAATGGGTGTTATTTATTTTTACTGTGCGCTTATTATTTTCATATAGACTTCTAATTGATTGAATTAAGAGGTGGGGTGTTCCATTTCCGCTAATATAGACCATATCTGCTGTCATTTGACTTTATCGAAGGCCTTTGTGTAATCCACAAAGCACATAAGCATAGGAGTATTGAATTCACGAATTTTTTCGATTAGCTGTCTGAAATTAAGGATGTTTGTTCTCTTGTGCCTTTTTCTGGGACATATCCCGCTTGTTCTTCTGGTATCTGAGGCAATAGAAAAGCTTTTAGTCTTTCATGTATTAGATGAAGTAGAACCTTGTTTGCATGGGATTTAGGGTTACCGTTCTGTAGTTGCTGCTATCTAGATGAGTTCCTTTTTTTAATACGATGAAATTGGATGATGTCCAGTCGTTGGGCCACTTTCCGGTTTCCCAAATCTTTGTACAGATCATATGCTTAACATTTACTCCAATATCTCTTGTCTCTTTTAAAACTTCTACGATGATCTAGTCTGCGCTAGGAGATTTTCTATTTTTTAACTTTTTGATTGCTTTTTCTACCTTTGACTTTTTATCACAGATAAAAATCAAGAAATCCGCATATGGACAAAATACATACAAGAACTCTTTGATGATACTAGATCTGAACAACCTCCATCCTACATATGTGATGACCACTTACCAATCACATCAGATGAAGTGCAAAAAGCCATATTACAACTAAAGGATGGCAAAGATCCTGGACCTGACAATGCATATGCTGAGCTCATAAAACTATTTAACACTGTCCGGCGGTATTCAACACCTAACAGAAGTATTTAATGACATATATTTAAGCGGAGTAATACCAAGAACATGGCTGAAGTCCACCTTTATTGCTCTACCAAAGAAAACAAAATCCGTATCCTGCAGTGATTTCCGAATCATCAGCTTAATGAGTCATATTTTAAAATTATTTCTAAAAATCATACATCAAAGGATATACATATAGACTGTGCGAAGAAAAAATCAGCCGTACACAGTTTGGTTTTCGGAATGCAGTGGGTACGAGAGAGGCTCTCTTTAGTATACATGTGCTATTTCAACGATGTAGAGACGTGAACTGCGACATTTATGCGTGCTTCATTGACTACCATAAAGCGTTCGATACAGTAAAGCACGACAAGCTGATAGAGATATTAACCAGTATTGGAATAAACACCTGTGATTTAAGAATTGTCAGCAATCTGTACTGGAAATAAACATCATCTATTCGTACAGAGGCAGAAGAATCCGACGATATCAAAATCAAACGTGTCGTCCGTCAGGGATGTATACTATCACCACTGCTGTTTAACATATAATCTGAGGAAATCTTTCAAGAAGCAGTGGGTGATGTTGAAGCCAGAATTCGAATGAACGGAGAATCTATCAATAACATTAGATAAGCGGACGACACGGTAGTATTCGCTGACAGCTCTGAAACCCTCCAGGAGTTAATGAACAGAATCACAGAGGTCAGTCAGAGATACGGACTTTCACTAAACACTAAGAAAACAAAATGCATGATGATCTTTAAGAAGGAACAGCAATTTGGACAAATCAGTGTAAACGGTCAACAAATAGAAAGAGTAAAAATATACGCCTACCTTGGTACGAACGTCAATGAAAATTGGGACCATTCCATAGAAATCAAATGTAGAATAGAGAAAGCAAGATCTTCATTTCATAAAATGGCTAAGTTATTCAAATGTCATGATTTATTAATGTCCATAAAAATCAGGTTACTACGATGTTACATCTTTCCTATACTGTTGTACGGAGTTGAGTCATGGACTCTCACAGACGCCACCTTCAAGAAAATTGAGGCTTTTGAAATGTGGCTTTATCGTCGCATCCTAAAGATATTGTATACCGACCACGTTACTAATGAGGTGTGTTGAGAATGAAAAAAGAAAAAGAGCTGTTAACCACAATAAAAACAGCCAAAATCGAATGCCTGGTCACATCATGAGGAACAGCGAAAGATATGGACTTCTGCCACTAATCTTGCAGGGAAAAAGTAGAAGAAAAACCGGGACCAGGAAGGCGAAGGATTTCCTGGCTGAAAAATCTACGAACGTGGTTCAACGCAACAACCACAAATCTTTTTAGAACAGCAGTGTGCAAAGTGCAGATTGCCATGATGGTCGCCAACATCCAAAACGGATTGGCACTACAAGAAAAAGAAGACCTCTGACTTTAGAATGTTTAGTTCTCTCTCTGCAGTGAGCTCGTCGTGATTTGCATTCTGTTGAACATCTTCATATAGATTTTGACAATATTTTCTCCATACCTCCGCAATCCCTTCCTCTTCATTTATAATTTGTTGGTTTTGATCCATTATTGTTTGTGTGATTAATTTAAAATCCCTATATAGATATTGGACTTTGTTATATAGCTCATGGGATTCATACCGGTTTGAATATCTCTCTAGTTTTTCGCATTCTTCAGTTATATGTTTATTTTCATCCTCCCTGTATGCTCTTTTAATGTCTCTATTTAACTTTGCTAATTCGTTTTTGTTGCTGTCGTTTTGATATATCAGAGATATTATTCTCCTTCGCACTTACAGAAGTTGCGGCGTTCTGTCTGTCATCCAGTGTTTTCGTTTCGTGATTTTGATTCACTAATTAATGCACATGTTTTTCTTTGCAGCTCTAACTTTATTAACAGATTTTGCCTCTTAGTAGTTTTGATTTCCTTTATTTTGTTTTTTAGACAATTTTTGTTTGTATTTTTAATTAGAGTCTATATAAACTTTGTATGTTCGTATATACTTGTAAAAATATAAATTTTATTGGGCGGTAGACTAGATTTTTACTACTACACACCTTTTTGAACAGTTTTTACCAACCCCTAACCGAACTTTGTGTTTCACAGATCTATGCACAACCGCCACGAAAGGCCCGGCCGCGCATGAACAGCGCCATCTTCGTGTCCAACAGCGGACCAGGTCTCGATCCCAAGGAATTCTTCCGTCGCCACGGCTCCGTTTCGAAGCTGTGCAGAAAGGCGAGGAGCGTGGACAACATCTCCTTGGAGGAGAAACACTTTGGACTTCCGCAACTATCGGTGTCAGGACCTTCGCCGCCCGAGGATGAAGAAAAGGAAAGGGAAATGGAGATGGATATGGAGATGGAGATGGATATCGCGGAGACCGAAACGTTGATGGCAGAGCAGCAAGAGTGATACGAGGCGGTCAGTGCTTGGTTGTCGATGGAGTGGTTTTTTTCGAAATCTGTATAAATGTATTTTTATAACAAAATTAAGTAAAATTTAACGTTTATAAATTTTTTAACTGATCTTTCAGTTTTGCACAATTATATTAAATAATTATTGTCCAAATATATATTTAGATTAGTTTTTATACTACAATTTGGAAATAAATAATTTTAGAAAAATAGTTATTGGTGGTTCAGGTGTAATACTCTTTCTCCATGAAGGTCAGTTTTAAAAGAGATAAACAAGTATTTAAAAATTATTCTTTTATATTCTTTTTAATTATTTATGTCGTTTCAAGCGTTAGGTTTTATCGCTTTAATCTATTTATTATATTTTTTGAAAATGTGATAATTGAGAGAGAAAAGTATATATTATGGTAAGGAAAAGTATAGATTTTAAAGATACAAATCGTATGGTTCCTAACGTTATCTTTAATTCTATAAACCAAATAAAAACTGTTTCTATTTACAAACCGATAACTTTTCAAAATACCTCTACATCCATGACTGTTTTTGAAAATTTTTAATCAAAATTTAATCTGCAAATTGACAGGACTTTCTTTTCTTAAACTCCTGCTTTCACCTAGTTCAAGGTACTATCCTGCTAGGTCGTTTTTTTTTCTCAAAGAAGTTATCTCTTATCAAAATAAAATATTGACAATTAAATGCTGCATACAACTCTTCAAATCTGGTGGTCTCTCAGAAAAACAGACTTGCCTCAGATAATTTGTTGTATTTAAAAAAACTAGACGAACACATCGAAGTAATGGAAGATATATTTAACACAATATACAAAACAGGCATAATACCAAATGATTGGCTGACATCGGTGTTTATACCACTACCAAAGAAGAGAAACTTCAAGAAATGTGAAGACCATAGGATTATTAGCCTAATGAATCATATATTGAAGCTTTTCCTACGAGTAATACACAATAGAGTATACAATAAACTAGACGAACACACTGGTCAAACTCAGTTTGGTTTTAAGAATGGGTTCGGAACAAGAGAAGCACTTTTTTCAATACGTGTGCTAGTTGAAAGATGTAGAGATGTCGATTCTGATGTATACTTGTGTTTTATAGACTTTCAGAAGGCGTTTGACCTGGTAGAACATGATAAACTAATAGATATTTTAAGGTCATGTAATATCGACGATAAAGACTTAAGGATCATTTCAAACCTCTACCAAGAACAAAAGGCTAAAATCAGAATAAAAAGCGAAACATCTGGAAAAATCAATATCGAGAAGGGAGTAAGACAGGGATGTGTCCTATCGCCTTTGCTGGTCAATGTTTACTCTGAGAAGATATTTCAGAAAGCTTTGGAAGGCACCTCGGATAGTATAATTATAAACGGGCAATGTATAAATAACCTGCGATATGCTGATGACACTGTCATACTGGCAGATAATGCTGAAGCCCTGCAACGCTTAATGGACCGAGTAACGACAGCCTGTAGAGAATTTGGAATGAAATTGAATACAAAGAAGACAAAAACGATGGTCATCAGCAAGCACCAAAGCAGAAGGGTGAAAGTCAATGTCGACGGAACAGATCTGGAAAGAGTAACAAGAACAACGTACCTTGGAAGTAATCTTGATGAAACTTGGTACCACTCACTAGAGATAAGAATACGCCTGGAAAAGGCACGTACAATGTTTTACCAAATGCAAAAAGTTCTATGCAACCACCAGTTGGGCATCTCATTGAAAACTAGAATACTTAAGTGCTATGTTTTCTCTATCTTGCTCTATGGTGTTGAAGCCTGGACAATGACAGAAGCAACACAAAAAAGAATCCAAGCATTCGAACTCTGGTGTTACCGTAAAATGCTCAGAATATCCTACATGAGCCATACGACAAATGCAGAAGTCTTGCGGAGGATGAACAAGGAAAGAGAGCTTATGCTTATAATAAAAGAAGAAATCAAAAGTATGAACTGTTCCAACTTATAATCGAAAGCAAAGTCAATAGCAAAAGAGGACCAGGAAGAAGACGCAACTCTTGGCTTAAAAACCTACGGCAATGGACGAACATGACCTCCATAGAACTATTCAGGGCTGCTACAAATAAGATTAAATGGGCAAATGTAATGGCCAACGTCCTTAAGGATAAGGCACCGTAAGAAGAAGAATTTAAAAAAACTTACAATTTGTTTGAAATTATCTGCTTTGCACTACACTTAACGACTTTTCCCACTATTCACTTTTTATCAAAATGACAAAAACACCAACATTTATTTTTCTTTAATAACTAAGAAAAAAATCAAAAACACCTTTTTCTTCCAAATTTCCAATCGAACTCTTTTTAAAATTGTCTCCTTTTTCCAAAACCAAACCTCTCGTTTTCGTTCGTAACATTTCCTAAAATCTCTTCCTTAATCAATCAACACACTCCAATAAAAACATATCTTTCCCACTCTTTCTTTCAGCCAATTTTCCTTAATCTTCCTTCCTTTCGTTTTATTATACAAACAACATACTACCTGCTTCTGGCTTGACAACAAAATCTACGTCATACACTAATTCGGAATACCCCAAAGTCAGAATTTATTGTTGTCGGCGGTATAAGAAAACAATTTATCTGTCTTATTCCTAAACAAAAATATATGTAAATTACTGAATTACTGTTAATCTTTTCTATCTACATTTATAAACGCTTACAAATAAAATTTAATTTTCAGAAAAGTCCAACCGCTTTTTTTTAAATCCATTGTTCCGTAAAATGTTTATACCTCAAATTCTGTACTTTTGAATCTATTTATAATTAATCCTTCGTGGAATTACTTTTAAGTATTAAAAATACTCTTGGATACATACTCACTGGAGTACACTAAATTCTTATATTATTTACCTTAATTTTAAACAGATCGTCTTCAGTACGGTGTAGCCAAGTTAGAAAAGAAGCATGTTAAGTTGGAAAAGGATCACTACAGGAACAATGTAACCAATTTATGGCCTTGGAGTTATAAGAACCTGATAGTTTCAGGGCAATAAGTAACAATAACCACAGAGGAAGGGAATGCCAACGTTAAAACGTTTAAAACAAATAGAAAAGGTTATTGCGAATGAATAATCAAAGTAAAATTCAATGGCATGTCTGGCCAAACAAAAAAACAAAAAACAAAATAGGTATATCAATGGAAGGCAACCGTAAATACGTATTTCTAACTATTGGTCGTCTTCAGTATGGTGTATTCAAGTTAGAAAAGGAGCATGTTAACTTGGGAAAGCATTGGACTTAGAAGATGAGAACATGCCTTAGAGACATAAGATGTCAATGGTACCTCTCCAGTTTTTCTTTCTTATAGTACGAATATAGTACTAATAGTACGAATAGCACGAGATAAGTCACCAAATGGACGAAGAAGTATTGGCAGACCAAGAAAAAGATGGTGCGACAATTTAAACAATTTAGGAGGCTAATATTGAAGATGAAGCAGACTTTAAAGCATACAAACAAGAAGGAAGAAAAAAGAAGAAGAAACATGTTTGTAATTCCGCCTTTCTTCACTTGATTAGAATCAAATGATCAGATACATTGATGTCTTTGATGGTATATTGAGCCATTTCTGTGAATTTCACTTTCTCTTAAAATGTTTCTCAAGATAAAATTAAATAATATTATGCTTAGTGATTTTCCTGTCTTAAACCTATATTGGTAGCAAAACTATTAGGGCTATGCACCTCTATCAACACTGTACTCCTTGTTTCATTTAATAAACATTTAACCAGCTGCATAATTTTTCCTGGAAATCGAAAATATTTTAATACACTTATAAGCATTGATCTGATATCTGTGTCATATGCCTGCTTAACATCGATATAGCGGTCTTCTTTATTGTAAAGATGTGATACGTTGCCGACCTACCTGGTCTAAAACCTGCCTTTTACTCCAATATACAGCTTTCATCTTGATGTTGATCAACTGCTCGATCGATCAACCACAAGGCTTATGCATGAGTTAAAAGAAATGACCAGAGTCAGAGATCCTTGAAGAAGGGCAATACATAACATCACAATAACCACTACACTGGCTCCAATGAGTGAGTCAAGAAAGAGACAGGGAAATAACGAGAGGGAAAGAGAGGGTTTGAAAACTTTTGTTCCTTTAACTCTTACATTCTGTCATATCGCCGTTCTTTGGACAATAAGTTGGTTACGGGGAAAAGCGTACTAGGATATACATGTCAATGATACATTGTTTGGCAAAAGTCTTTTAAATACTAATAAAGTCACTAATACATCAATAGGTACTTCATAAATTGGTCACATTTCTGATTCACTCTTCCAAATGACTCAAATGAGGTACTTTTAAAAGCACTTCTCTCTTTGTAGTTCAAAATTGTTATTACTTCTCTAGATTTTCCTGTTTTTTGTCATTTTATCAGTTTTTTTTACTTTTTCCTTTTTTTTTTGCTTGTCTACTCATCATTTTCTTTGTGGTCTTCCTTATTGAGCTCTTAGCAACCTTTAGGTTTCATTCTTTTCTTTTAACTAACCATGTATTTATTTCTTTATGTCCAAGAGATGTTATTGTTGTTTGATATTTACAAAATGATAATTATCATATAGACAAAAACAATTTTTTTTATATAATAAATGTTTGTCACTCTTTTAAAATTCACTTTTTTATATAAAACTAAGTATTGCACTTAAGCCATCGTTATATACTTTGTGTACATTTACCATTTTTTAAACAAAAGCATAGATTATAGTAAGGTATTTGTAAGTAGTTTTGTAATGCCTGCAATGGAAGGTAAGTTTGTTTTTGAATACTGGATCTTGTTTAGGCGTTATAAACTATGCAACAGTTCAGTAATCAAAAGTTATGTCATTTTTTTCATGTTTAATAAGTTTTATAGAAAGTTTGTTTTTACAATTTGGTAATCTATAATAGTAAGCTCGTTTTTCAAATTAAATTTTTTATTCCCAGTTTCCGTAATATTTAGTGGCCTGCCTCAGAT